AACCCTGCCAGAGGGGACCCCAGCTGCTAGGGCTATGGGGCCAGGGACCCACGTCCACTGCTCCCTGCCCCCACTGGAAGGCAGCAGCTGCTGCAGCAGGAGCAAGAGTTGGCTCCCCTCCTGCTGCCTGCTGTGGGGACAGGGGAGACCGGTGCCTCCAAGATCTGTGGGGGGTGGGGGCAGGGCGTGTGCACGCTGTAGGATTGTGCTCCCTACTCTGCTGCCCTCCAGAGTGCAGCGTGTGCAACCCAGCATGGCAGCACACAGGGGGACATGCACAAAAGCTGCCTGCCACTACAAGCTCTGCGCTGCCCTGGCCACACTTCTCCTGCAGCTGGGGGCAGCAGTGAGGTGCACAACCCTGCACAGCCCCTGTGCACACAGAGGAAGCGTAGCAAAGGCAGCTTTCCTGCACAGCTGTGCTGTGCCCGTTGCACACATTGATCCAGAGGGCCTGGGGGAGGGTGGGGAGTGCAACGTTTGCAACCAAGGGTTTGCAGCTGGCCGGGAACTGTAGGGGGGTGGTGGGGAGGGAGGTTTGCAGCCTCCCTGCTCCCAGCTTGCTGCAAACCCCATGCACAAGCTGTCTGGAGGCTGAGGGAGCAGGGAGGCTGCAAAACCCTTGCCTCCCAGTCAGAGTGCCCAGCCAGCTGCAAACCGCCCCGCTCCCTCAGCCCCCAGCCAGCTTGGGCACTGTGGCCGGGAGCGGGGGAGGTTTGCAGCCCCCAGGGTACAAGGGGGGAGTTGCAGCCTCCCTGCTCTCTCACCCCCAGCCAGCTTGGGCACTGTCCAGCTGGGCACTCCAGCTGGGAAGGGGGACTTGCAGCCAGCCAGGAGTGGGGAGGCTGCAAACATGTCCCAGCCGGCTACAAACCTCCCTGCTCCCTCAGACCCCAGCCAGCTTCCCCCACAGCCCTGCCATGCCCCGCAACCCCCAAGCCCTACTTACCTCCAAGAAGAGTGAGCCTGAAGCAGCCTCTGGTAAGTGCAAGCATTGGGCCCTGCCCTTCCCCCTCTCCATTCCCCTTCTGGGCAGGATTGGGGAGTTTCCCTGCCCCTTTTGCAAACAGCTCTTGCAGGCTGGAACTCAGCCAGCCTGCAGAGCTCTTTGCAAAATGGGGAAATCCATGGGTTTTTCCACTAAAAGAGAAAATCCACATTTTCTCTGATAAAAATTGGAAATCTGTGTTTTTTTTCTGTTTTTCCATGGGAAATGGAAAACCCGGGTCACTGAGGATGAAAGGGGTCCCAGGGAAGGGGACAAGTGCCTCCCACCCTTTTAAACTAGTTGGTCTAACCTTGTACCCTCGGAAGGACCTGGAACAAATTATTTACTAATCTGCATGAGCATATAAAGAGCTAGCATGAATGTACCAAAACCAAATCATGCCAAACCAATCTCTCTCCTTCTGATGGTAGTGGAAAGGGAGGAACTGTTGATAAGACCCAATCTAAGGCACATACAATGTATTTGTTGAGAGCAGCAGAAAATATACCCTGCCTAGGTTTCTGACCTGCCCATGTGATGTTTCCATAAAGGGGAATGAGGTCTGGATGAAAGCACTGTAGTGACAGCACAGTTAATTGAAAACTTCCATGCCCCCCCCCCCCCCAGTTACCCATGGATTGCTGTCGAACTGGGAAGATGCATAGAGGGGTCAAACTGGGGTCTGTCCTGTGTCTGCTATTACTCGGTATGAATATTTTCAGCAATGACTCAGATGGTGGAGTAGAGATGACACTTAAAAATATTGTGAATGATGTCAGGCAAGAAAGGGTTGCAAAGGGACACTTAGGAGGACAGGATTGGACTTTTGATAAATTGGGGGAGACCGGTCTGAAATCAACAGGATGATGATCAGTGCTGCAGTGATACATGGCGCTGCACATAAGGAGAACCTGAATGGACAAGTGCAAAAAGAGGAAAAGCTGCCTAAAGAGCAAGCTACTGCCAAGGGTGTAATGGGCCACAGATTGTGTGAGCCATCAGTGTAGTGCATGCAGATGCAGTAAGAGGACAAATAGCATTCTGGGATGTTGGTAATTTGAGCATTGTGTGTAGGACCCGAAGGGGCCCTTACAACAGTGACCTGTTCTTTTTGACCTGAATGAGACTTCTGCTGAGGTACGTGCCAAATCTGGGCACTTCATTTAAGAAATATTTCAACAACTTAGCAAAAGTCCAAATGAGAGGAACCAAGTATAAGGTTTTAAAGCACAGGACCTATGAGAGAGAAAAACTAAATTCCTTAAATCTTTCCAGAACAGAGAAGACTGGGCAGAAACCTAAGATTTGAAATATGTAAAAGATTGCTACAAAAGGTGTAAATGTTAATTGTTCACCCGGCTCACGGAGGGGAGTGTTAGAGGCAAACCTCTTAATTTCCAGTAAGAGACTGAGTTTATATACTGAGAAAAAGCCTTCAAACTGTAGGTTTGGGTAAGGATAACAACTGTAAGGAGCCTGTTTAAGCCCTTGCCCATCTTTGCCTTTTGAAGGCTTTTTCTCAGTGTCTTATTGCAGCTCTTTTCCCTACCCATTCCTGGGGTGGTTTTTTTTGTTGTTGTTTTTTTTTAGGGGAGGGGTTTGTTTTTGTGGGGGGGGGGGTTTAAAGGGAAAAGACTGAATTGTTGCATTGTGACACTTGCTATGCACAAAGTGTTGTCAAGTTAGAGTAAAGAACTTGTGTTAATCCAGAGGAGCATCTTTGCTATCTTTTATTTAAAATTTAATTTCTAAGGTATAAACACTTTGCTTGTTCTACTTGTTACAGTTGGGAATGGAAAAACTTAGACAAAAGGGATTTATTTTTCAGGTTGGTGGAGTTCCTGAAAAAGGGCTCAATCCATTAAAAAAAAAAAAAAAAAAAATTACAACCATTACAAAAATGAAAGATCTGCTTGGAACGGTCAGCTGTTTAAAAAGGATTCTGTCTGTTCCATCCATACGTTGGTGTCTGTAAAACATAGGTGACTGTAGACTACAGCACTAATGTGACAGTTAGTTCTTATTGGGTCTGGGGATAATTGAAATGTAGAAATTTATCCTACATAATCAAGATAAAACAGCTAAGCAAAATAAAGAGTCAAGTTGTGTGGTGTGTGAAACGTTTCTGCTTTTAAATTACATTCTTGTTCTTCAGATTGGTTGGTTTTGAGATGGCTGTACTTGATTGCTGGAAATGCAGTAGTGGCGTGTAGCTGAGTTCTTGAAGGACGTTAAAAGCATTTAGACATTTTTGACTCTGAGAGTCTGTGGCAGCATTGAAGAATTGTGGGTCAGAGATCAGTGCTTTGATGTAATTCTTCCGAGGAAGCATCTTGTGCTACTAGGAAAACTATGTCAGTCAAGGAGCAGTATTTTCATAGGTGGATAGTATTGTCAAATGCTGTGAACAGGAGTAATGGTTCTGGTATTAAGAGAGACTAATAGGAAAGGGTTAGGTTCCCAAGCTGCAGCTCTTGGGTAACATGTTACCTGTAGGGCTTTCTGACATGGCTCACAACCTCAGATATGTGCTTTCTGCACATGATTCTCCAGTTTGACACAGAAGACCGAGTGTGATATTTGTTTGATTCTTGTTTTACTTGCTCGGTATTGTTGCCAGTAGGCTGGCATAGGTTTGGGACTACTAGTTTAGAAGAGCAAGCATGATAAATTCTCGGTTCCTTTTCAGTTCCAGCAGAAATAAGTTTCCTTTTGTTTAATGCTTGCTTTGGCTATTATCTACTATGTACAGGTGGACTTTTAAAAACTATTGAATAGTGTATATATGTGTTGTGTTTTGTTTTTCTACAGCCACCGACAGCAAAAATGCATGCAATCATTGAACGAACTGCAAACTTCGTTTGCAAGCAGGGAGCGCAGTTTGAGATTATGCTGAAAGCCAAGCAGGCGCGCAATTCTCAGTTTGACTTTTTGCGATTTGATCACTACCTCAACCCCTATTACAAATTCATACAGAAAGCAATGAAAGAGGGGCGATATGCTGCTGCTTCTGATAAGAAAGCGGATGAGAAGAAAAGTGAGTACAGGGAGCAGGGCATGCATGTATACATTTCTTGAGGTCAATGCTGAGATGGTGTTCACTGTATTGGTACACAGGGAATAATGACGTACTTCTGTATATATGTTGAAGTGATCCACAGTGTTATAGCTGTATGTGTGAGTTGAAAATCCACATTAATCCTCCATTTGCAAATAATGCTAAGAATATAAATCTCTGACTGTCAAAGATATCTAAAAATAATCAACTGTGCAAAAATCTCTCATCTCACTTCAGTTGAGAGGGCTGTCTCTTTCTTTGGTGTGTTGGCATATTGACATAGTAATGTTCTGTCATCCTACACATAGGGTTGATAAGGTGCTTCAAAATGAGGTAACTTTGCTTAGAAAATCCGATGGAAAACATGTTCTTATTCAAATCCAAGAGTTGGTGTGGTCTTGGAGCTTTTCATATTAATGCCAACATATTTCTTATTAGGTCAAATTAGAAGAGCTCTGTGCACCTAAGTGTTAATTTTATTTGATACTCAGCCATGATTTTTTGTGTCCTATGTCATCTCTTAAAACAGTAAATGGTCTTCAGGCTTAAGCTTGTCCTGTAGTGTCATTAATAATTATTGTAATTACCTCCAAAATTGTTGCTATAGCTTTTCTATTTAATCCTTTTTAAAGGTCTTATTATCTATGCCAGGGTCTTGACCTTCAGTATTGAAGCTCTTTGTAAAGACTTGAGCCATGCATAAAAGTATGTATGAAAGTATAAATAGTAAAAATCTTCTACTGGAACTTGAAGTCTTCTGTGCATTGCGGTTGCCCAAATATGTGTGTTGCTTAAAACCAGAATAGTTTGAGGCACCTGTGAAAAAATAATGAAACTGATTTTAAAACAGTCAGGACACTTTCATTTTGTGATATTAATTCTTATATAATCATTTTGTCTAAATTTAATTAGACTTTTCATTTTGTTCTGTAACTTCAATTTAAAACAGAATGAGATGTGAACACCAGACTTAATGTTTTTATTCAAATGTTAGAAATTCAATTGGCTAGTCCTTAATCGACTACATTTCTGAGAGCCAGGGTCTTTAACAGCATTCAAGCATGACTTTATCCCCCCTCTCCCTTTTTTCCACCCTGCCTCCTCTCAAAAAAATCTAAACAAACATCTGTTGCTTTTATATAGATTCAAAAGCTAAGTCTGAAGAAGAGGATGACGATGACGACGACGATGATGATGATGGAAATTATCTGCATCCGAGTCTTTTTGCCTCTAAAAAATGCAGTAGACTTGAAGAGCTTATGAAGGTAATTGATCTTGTTAACTCAACTGTTCTAGCGCTTCTGATTTCAAGTTGTGATGGGTAAAGGATGTAATCATCATACTGTTGTATTTAAATTGCTTTTGTTGAAGCAGCCTGTAAAAAAGCCTTTGTGTGTTGAAATGTTAGAGCATATAATTCCTTTGCATCTGGTTTTCTGATAATGCTTAATTTTCCTCGACACAACTGATAAGTGTCTAGAGTGGTGATCTTGAACAGGTTTGTTCATTCACAGCCTGGCTTGTCCTTGCATTTCTCTTTGTAAGTAAGTAGGTGTTCAAATTGACATCACTAATGATAAAGATCTTGAATCAGGAACACAAAATCAAGCAGTTCAAAGCTGAGTTGTGAAGGAGAAGCTTCATAATAGCAATTCCTGCTCTAGCATTGCAGTTGATATGAAAAAAATTACTGGCAAAAAAAAAAGTGAGGTGCAGAAAATATTTTTTAGGTCAGTTTGCCCCGTTAAGAAAAGAGCGTTAAATTTGTTTCCTGTTTGGTGTGAAGGGCGGACTCAAAAGTGTGTAGTCTGATTTGTATGCTAGGTAGCTTTGTATTTGCAAAATAACATGTTTTTATTTTTGAGGTGATTTCATACAGTCAAAGGATACTTTTTCACAGTATTTATAGAGGATTAACAGTTCTCAAGAGGCCCTTTTTATTCCCTTCACACATCAAAGTGCAATATTTTTAATTTTAGCTTTTAATAAACCAATTCCTAGCATCTAGTAGCAGGGTAGTTGAATAACATTTTGACAGAATTAAGTCTTATCCACACATTTAGCGGCCTTAGTTTTACAAGCCGCCTTAAGCATTTTTATTTGTCTCGTGTTATCGGTTAGGTATCTTGATCAGGGCAGTGGCATTAAGAAGCTGAAAAGAAAATAATAGAATTCCATATATTTGAGATTGTTGAAGAGGCATTGCAGAAATCCTGTGAGAGCTAGTCTTTTAATGGATTGGAGGTTTTATTACTATCTAGTATAGCTGCACAAAGCTTTGGTTCCTGATTTGATTCAGACCAATTTGGTGGCTGAATCTCCAAATCCTAGTCAAATCAGGAGACCCTTTAATCTCTCCAAATTGAACTGGAACCCTCTGAATTGATTTGGAAAGATTCGATGATTCGGACATAGACACAGCTTTAAATGTTTTTTCTGCATACCTCTAGGTAGCTGGGGTTCATGAATACTGCAATGCTAGGGTGCGTGGAGTGTCCCACAGAAGCCCCGGGGCCTCCCCAGCATGCTCCGCAACTGGCCTGGAAGTGGACCAGAAGCACTTCCAGTTTTGTCAGGGAGCATGCTGGGGAGCCCTCCCCAAGTCCCCTGATTTGGTGACTGGTGCCTCCTGGATCTGGGGGGGCACCCAGGATCCCCCCATGGCTGATCATTTGGGGGGGGGGGGGGGAGCAGTTCACTCGCCCACAGACCCAGAAGTGGACTGAAAGTACTTCCAGTCCACTTCCAAGTTTGCTGCCAAACATGTTTGTCTGCCCACCCCCCACCCCCATTGGCACTCCTGTGGGATGCTCCATCTTCTCCAGCATTGCAGCGTTCATGAGTTGTACCTGGTACCTTAAGGTATGTCGAAAAAACATTTAAAGCTGTGTCTATGTCCGAATTGCTGATTCTCCAAATCAGCATCAAATTTTCAGATTTGGCTTTGGCCGAATCAAATCGGGGACAGTGATCCAAATCAACTAATAGAATCACTGTCCCCAATTCAGGTCAAATCCAAATTGAATACAGCCCGTTTTGCACACCCCTACTCTCTAGGCACATTGGGTATACTTGTCTTCCACACAGTGTGCCAATTTGGTATTTCTAAAGCACAATGATGCTATCTTTACAAAGCATTTCAAAGCTGATGTTGGAAAGGGAAAAAAGTAAATTGCTGTTCCTCTTTCATAGATTGAGGGTATAAATAAATTTGTATTTAAAGTAGTAAATCAAAGGTTAAATGACTATTAATAATCTCCACAGCCTTTGAAGGTAGTGGACCCTGATCATCCACTGGCAGCACTTGTTCGCAAAGCACAGTCTGACAATAATTCATCCACACCCCAGTCAACAGATGGGGCAGCAATACAGACATCACAAGTGGAATATCCTACAGATTGTAAGTACTTTGTGATAAAAGGTTCATAGCCGTTGAATATTTATTTCCCAGAAGATGATCTTTCCATTATTGATAACCTTATTTTAAAGTTTCATGGCTTTTTGCAGTGTAATTTGTCAAATTATTTTTCTGGTAAACTTGTTGCATTGTGGGGGTTCTTTTATTTAAAAAAAAAAATGGAATGTTTTTATGTCCTGCAATGCTAGCAGTTGCACAGCAAAAGCAAATGCCTGATCAAACCCCCAAGGCTTCCTTACAGCTTATGGTTGCTGGTGATCATCAGTGAGAAATATTCCTGAAATATTTATACTAAAACAAAGACTGATGTTTAGTAAGAACTGACAAAACTTTCATTAATGGGTTCAGCATGAAATATATGCTAACAAAATGTTGTGCGTTTCATCTATAGGATGATTGCTTGCATGTTACACATTTGAGCACTCGCATAATTTATCCAAGAAACACTGTTTCCTACCTCTGCTTTACTGTGGTGCCTGATTTAATCACCTCTGTGTTGATCTTACTGGCTTCATTCTGTGTTTGGTTGACAAACCCATTTGAAACTGCAGCTTTCCAGCTTGCTTTCTGGGCAAGAAGGAACACTGGACATATTGCTCTAGTGATAGTCTCAAAGTCCTTGTCCAGTTCAAATCTAGTTGATAAACTTGATTCTCCTATGCAAGTTTTTAAGTTGATTATGACCTAGTTATTTTACAGACAGAATTTAATTTTATGGCAGTCATGAGAAATGTGAAAGCTGAAAAAGGCCGTATTTTAAGATGGAGTGATTTTTGGCATAACATTTTAGCCGATGGAATTCACTCCAGGGCTTAAGTCTTGCCAGGTTCAGAATAGTGCAGGGCACATTCACACAGGTCAGTTCCTGTAATGAAAGGGATGAAAATGGCATGTCATGCGGGTAGCAGGGAAGTTAAGGAAGAATAAATGGCCTAACAGTCCATAGCACCTGGTTCTTTGTGATAAATTTTGTAACATCCCATAGCTGCTATCTAATAATAGCTATTATTATGACACTGTTATTGTAATAGTGTATAACTATCAGATTGACAGACCTTTACAAAACGGTAACATATCCAGTCCTGTCTAGCAATGTGATGGGGTCCCCCCTCCCCCATTTTCTCTGTGGTGGGCTGAACTCTAGTACAAATGTACATTCAGATTTCTCATTCCTTACCTAGTAACTTAGTAAAGATGGTAGTTTTGACAAAATTGGCTCAGTGTGTGTGTGTGTCAAATGGAATTTTCCTTTTTTAATGAAAATGCAGGGTTTTTTTCCCCCCGTTGAAAACTGATATTCTGAGGCATGAATCAGAATTGCCGCTTTTGTCTGTGACACACATTTTTATCCAGGACCATACAGTACATAAGCTATTGTTAGCCTTCTTTATGGTTGTATACATTACTCAGAGAACCGCTGTTTTACAAAACAAGATTAGACAAGTAGCCTACGGAAGGCAGTCGCTTTAAAGCTCAATAAAGAGAGGAAGTATCTTGGGTCGCTCAGTAGTCCACAAAAGATACTCCATGTTTTAGCAGTTTGGGCCCCATATCCAAATTTCATTAGACATAGATGATATATAATCATGGGTCCAGTTCATAAAAGTATAACAATTTTGTGTGAAAAACGTGACAGCTAGTGCGTGGTAATGAATTGTCATGCTTGGTAGCGGAGGAATATAGAAAACCAACTGTAAGCCTAACTTCTATAGTGAATATTTTTTGTACTCGGTTCACAACGAATGGTTGCATTTCTTTTAAGGAATGTTAAACCATTGGCAAAAAGGATCCATTTATGTCTTGCTTTTAAAAAAACATTGAAATGATAATTTCTGTTAACTTTTTAAAAATATTCTGTATATATTGTAAACTTGTCTTGTAAATTGGTGCATTGGATGCCTAATGCTTGATATTTGTAATACTAATTACCAGTTTCTTGCTAATAAGTCCTCTTCTCTGAACAACCATGTAAGATTTTTCTGCTATGCAGAAAATCCCTAAAGACAAAATAATAGGCTAGAATGTTGGTTAAAAGCACAAAGTATGAAGCATCATAATTAGGTGGCAAAGTATAGGTCTCTAATGTATTCTCCCATGTCACACACAAATGGAAGCAATTTCAAGATGAAAAGTTCTTAAGCATTTTCTTCCATTCCATAATCAATCTATATGGAAATCTTTGGTTTGAGTTTTACTAGTCTTGCACTCTGCATCTTGATGCAGTGCTTTATTTAGCAATTAAAGTTCTAGGAAAATAACTTCTAAATCTCCCAGTTAAAAGAGCATCTGCATACCTGTTTGCTTATGAAAAATGTCTGAAGATGCCAAATTAAAGTTCAGTAGTGAAGGAAAATATGCATCCTTTAGTCATTAATGGAGGTGCACCAGTATATTGGTTGCAAATCGAATCGGCACCAATAACAGGTAAACTAACATTATCAGCAGTTGCAGTTGTTTGGCCAATAATGTCACTGATAAATGCCATGTGCACATTGCCAGGAATGCAGCTTGGAGAGCAGCCTCCTGCCGGTAAGTCTGTGTGGAGAGAGACGATGGGGGGGCCCCCAAGATAAGAGAGGGAGTGGGGTGGGGCATCAGCAGCTGCCTCCCAAGTAGGGTGGTGAATGGGACCCAGGGGCTGGGAGCAGGACAGAGCTGTGGGTGGCTTATCCAGGGGTAGCTGGGGAGGGGAGCTGGGTCCCCACCCCTACACGCACCCCCAGGCACGGGGGGCATATGACTCTTCCCCCCCTGCCCCCCCGGATTTGTGCATGGCATGAGGGCGGGCTACCCCAGCCTCTTACCAGCAGGGGCTCTGGGCCAAGACTGCACTCAGAGCAGGCAGGGTAGGCTCAGCTGTGTGGGGTGGGCAGCAGTGGTGCTAGGGGGACTTGGGGGGCTATAGGCACCCCAAAATTCACTTTAACACCCCCATAACCAGCCCTCCCAGCACTCCTGCTGCCCACCCCACGCAGCTGAGCTCGCCCAGCCTCTGCCCACCCCAAGGGGGATGTGCCACCCCTGGCTCAGTCCCCCAGCCAGGAAGAGGCTGGTGCATCCCTTGGCCCCTAGCCTGCAACAGGCATCCTGCCCTTGCCCTGTGCACAAATCTAGGGGGGCACATGCCCCCCATGCCTCCCTTGGGGGGGGTGTGCAACAGCAGGGAGCTGCCCCCACCCCTGTGCTACCTGGGTGAACTGCCTGTGGCTCCATCCCACTCCCAGCCCAGGGGTCCCATTCACCACCTTGCCTTGAGAGCGCCTGCCCATGCTCCTGCCCCAGTTCCTGCCTTGCCATGCGGGCTTCAATCTGCACCCCCCACACCTCTTCCCTCCCCTATGCCCCTTCCCCACCCCCAGAGACTTACCAGCAGGGACGCTGCTCTCAGCTGTCCGGCTGCATTCCAGTAAATCGCCTGTCGGATCGGTATTGGCCAGTATGGATGGTCAGTTATTGGTATCAGCCAAGAAAAGCTTTATTGGTGCACCCCCTAGTCATTAAGCAACAGGAACTCTCACCTTGTACTTTCCTGAATGTTTTGGCATTGTCAATTCTAACCTTGCCTGTAAACCGCAAAGAAAACTCCAACTTTGTGCCAAGGTGCCCACAAACCAAGCTCCATTTATTGCCATTTGCCTTTAGTGGTAACTTCTTAATGCTCAACACAACTAGGAAGAAAAGGTGCTGGATTATGTCTAACATGACTAATGATAATATTCTGCATCATATTCCTTGACGGTAATTGCCTTTCTGGACTCCACCTGGATTTGTTGCTTGATTTATTTTTGTCGTCTCTTCTGTTACCTAAGCCCTGAGCGGTAATCTGATTCTGTTGGAGAAAAGCAATAAATTGCACATTCCAATGGGCCCCTGTTTATTTATAAGCATGCAATAGCCTTGCAAATTGAATCGGGGATTTAGCCCTTGCGTGCAAAATGGGTTTGTAGTAGTCTTCTAGTTTGGTCTCTCCCAGGATGCTTTGTCTCTGTGTAATTGTTAAAAAGCATCAATATATCCTTTCAATATAATTGGACTTTCCAGACTGAAGTCTTCAGTTTGTGTAATTGGAGTTGGAAAACACCTTCAGAGGATCCAGTAGGTAATCCATCTGCATCACAAGGATTGAGGAGGAGGATGTTCTAGGCTGGAATATCTCCAGGGATGTTCGTTCTTTACCTTCCCTTGGGGTCTTAATCAGCATCCTTTGAAATCAATGGAATTGGTTTTTTGTCGTCTTCAGCAAGTGTTGATTTGGTGTTTTGTTGCTTCAGCTGCCTGCTTTATCAGATTTGTCCTTAATACTGAACTTAAAAGTTCACCTTCAGAATTCAAATTTACTACTTTTTCCTTTGTCTTTGCTGCTTAGTGAAATTGTCTTTTTTTTCCTCAGAGTTGTCTCTTATGCCGTTTAATTATTTTGAAAGTTTTAGTGAAGTTGAATTTCCATAAGGCTAGAGATTGTATACAAGCTTTATTGTGAGTTTCTCTTCCATACCTCATACAAATTGTTGGTATGCTACGGCTTCCCTTCACCTTTCTTGTTGAACTTATTATCCTTTTTTCTCTATCACTCTTTTACATCCAGTGAATTGCTATAGAGTCTAGTACTCTAAAATATTTGTCTTGGCTCTGTTACCTCACATTCTTTAAGTGTATCTATTTTTTTTTCCATCACCCTTGAAGCTTTTTGAGGCTAGCTTTGTGCCAAACCCTATGACAGGAGGCCAAACAATTTAATTTTGTGTATCTTTTTAATCCTTCTTTAAGTCTAAAACACCTTGATGTCTCAGCTGGAGAGGTATTACATGCCCTTTATTTTTTCATAACATTTTCTCGCATCACTTATCAAGATTTAGTTTTTAAAATTGTTACCCTCCGAGGGATTCCCCCTAACTGCTGTTCCCCCTCTAAAATATATTCACTCTTAACATAATGTGTCTAGATTATATGAATATATACTTATTAACAAGGTGAATGTTTAA